GTTGCATACTTTTCAGTTAACTAGCATAATGTGTTTTTGGCTTGTTTGTTCAACCAATCGTGCAGGTGTGGTATGTAAATAATTTTGCTGCTTTGGCATCATCTGCAGTTAATGAATATTGATGGACAGTACTAACCTTTCTAGATTTTGACATACAATGAATTCAGCGGATATACTGTCCCTGTCAAAATTGGTTGCCTCTTCCCTGTCCAAAGAAGATAAAAGAAATCATTCTGAAGAAACCAAACTTGGTTTGTTTCTTCATTTCCATTTTCTTTTTGAGGGCCCTACAGGCTGAAAAGAGATTTTTTCATGTTCATGTTTGAATAAACAGTAGACAATCATATATAATGTAATTGAAGGTAACATAGGTGTTTGCAGCTATGATGCAGCTGTCTCAAAAAAAAATGCTGCAGTTTTTTATATTTGTCGGCTTCAAAGTATGCGGCAAACTGGTTGGGCTGGGCTGAGAGGACTCCGGCAAATTGGGTACGTTTGGTTCGGGCCTTGCCCGACTAGGATGCAAACTCAAGCCCGAACCGAGCCTGAAAATTGTTAAAAAAATTAATATTTTTAATAAAATAAATAACAAATAACAGTAAAATTCAATAAAACTAACAGCAAAACACTAAAAGATATTAAATAATAATAATGAATTAAAATATTAAACTATTAATAAATTTAATTAAAGATGACAAGTGAAGGGATTGAGCTCGGCTTGCTAACAGTAATGGGTTGGGCCGGGTCGGTTTGGATAAGTAGTATAATATATGGTTCTAAAGCATCTTTTTCCTAGAATCTGAGCATCATTATGTATACATGTCTACGTACAAAATGCGTATGTATATACTAAACTAGGTATGAGCATATATTCTGCATATGTGCCTCTAGAACGTTGATTCAGGGTTGTAATTACTCTTTTCTCTTACAAATTTTATATATCATGTATGTATTATAATATAAATATCTTTGTCAGTAAGGCAATGTAAATTAGGCTAGGCATGGAATTGAAAGGGAAGTGAAGTTGTAGATAAAAGGCAGGACAAATCTTGGGCAAGAATCTCTCAGGTTTGCTTGGAGAAACAAAAGTAGTGTACTACATAGAACAAGAATTTGAATACTTGTAAAAAAAAAAAAAAAGTGCTAATGAATTAAATCGATTGAAAAAGGAAAAGCGCTTCTCTGATCTTATGCTAAATTTTAAAAAATCAGTCTACAGATTCACTTCCAGGCAACATGCACCAACATGAGTTTGCTGGTCCAAGAACAACTTGCTTTTTTTAGATAGAAAGACATATATCCCTTGGAATTATGTCAGATCTTTGATCACCATGCATGCTACACCCTTTAATTATATATGTGTGTGTATATATACTTATATGTTCTTTTCTTCTTCTTTTTTATTTTCCCATGTATATCTAAGAAAATCTTGTTAAACTGATATTTTTGGGCAGTTAAATTTTAATTGTCTTGTCTCATTGAAAAACCATCTATATATTCAAAGAAAATCTTTTAAGATATGGAGCTATATATGTAGTTTGACTAACAAGACATGATTATAGTTATCCAGAGTCAAATGCTAAATGGGATTTCAAAGAAGAAAATTTTATGAGAAAACCTGTGAAAATAGATTTGATGTGCACAACCCAACAGAGAAAAAGAAGAAATTTAAGGTTAAAAGTGTTAAATACACTTGTAAGCAACTGTAAGTTCATCAACTGTTTTTACCTTCTTTTATCTGATATACATGAACCTGTTTACCTTGAACCTTGACTTTTAAACCCTATTACAAAATTAAATTTGAAGAGGAAAATATTGAATGGCATTGGAGTGAGTTTTAATCTGGGTTTGGAAATGATATATGCCAAAGGAACTCACACCACAAAATGTTGTTAAGCAAATGTATCCCTTTTATTGGGCATTGTAATCTTAGAAATCTTAGAAAGTTTAACGGGTTATTTAGACCAGAAAAAAGTATATGAATCATTTTTGAATTTAGGTCCATGACTATATGTTAGAAATGACTAGATGGCACCAACCCAGATTCTGTAATTTGATGGGTATCTATCTATCTATCTATCTATCTATCTCTTCCATTTGTTTCTTGTCGTTTCTCTTAACCATTTCTCTTCAGTAACCTTAACCGTGTGCCCATTTTCATGCTTCCAGTTCAACAACACGGTAACTGTTTCGAACAGTTCAAACTCAAATTATTACATTATCGAGTAACTTGAGGGGCAATTTCTGCAGCAATCCACGTCCTAATTCGTATTGTTATAGAAGAAAATACGGTATAGATTTGTTTCTTAAAAATCTCAAAAAAATTCCAACATGTTTATAATTTTCGGTGGGTTTGTATTTTTACATTTACGTAGAGTTGATTAATGAGTATTAGTTCATTCCCTAGATGGGTTATTGCACAACTAATGTTCTTAATTTGTTCTTAATATAAGCTTCTTTACAGTAATTAAAAGTGGAAGAATTGTCTACAAGGCACCTGATACTAAGTACTCACACCGTACTATATATTTTTCAATGTTAGTTCTCTCTTATCTTCTTCTCTGTCACTCAAGTAGTCTGGCCAAGATAAATACCAGTCAGAAAGGCATCCCTGCCTGCCATTAATCTTAAATATTCCACAGTTGCACTGCCATGGTATGGCTGAGTGCGCACTGCACAAGCTCCTGCGCTCTAATTGCATCGGAATTAGTAGGTAAAAGCTAAGCATCTTTCAAGACGATAATTTCATGTGGAAACTTTCAGAGACTATGATGTTTAAACTGGATTGACAAATTTAATAATCAAACATGGGATGACTTTTTCTATTAGGTTCATCCAAAGGTATCTAGATGGGTACTAGTAGCCAAATTTCCTGATAATAATTTTATTTTTTATTTTTTGACAGATGAGGGTATACGTGTTATATATATATGTATGTATAGGGTAAGGTGGTATATGTTAGATAATGATGGTCGTTTTTTATTCCTGCTGATAGATCTCCCAACTCTCACACTGCAACTCTTATCATTTCTTCATGTGTATGAAAGAGACATTTCATCACAAATTAAAGTAAAATCTTCTCTTCATTTAGTACCATACTTTTTTTCTCTCTGATTCTCTCCATTTTCTTTGTTAAAATAAAATAATTAATGAAGTTGGTTTTTATCGGCTTAAACTTTTGGAATAATCTCATCAGTCAATTATTTAAAATAGTACCAAAGTTATTGATATAATCGATTCAATTAAAAACTTAAAATTCATACTTTAGATTTAATCAAATACTTACGTAGTTTTACTATCACAAATAGTCTTTTAGATTATACGTAAGTTTAATACGAATGTTAAAGATGGTTTCTTGGGTCTTCAAGAAACTATATTTGGAGTGAACTTTGGCAAATAATATCTGAAAGTTTTAGAATTTAAGCATATGGAACTCAAGCAGCAGCCTCTTCACTGACAACATGCAGGAATGCATGCAAAATTTACTAGCTAGGTAAGAGCAGCTTATTGATGTGGCGTTTTACTTTAAGCCTATATATATACACATATATATAGTTATGAATACATATACACGGACGGTATTAATGCCATAAAAAGATGATTGATTGAAGAGATGAAAGTTTATTTTGGAGGGAGGGAGGGGGATATATGTCGTACTTGAATACCGAATGCAAATTTTACAAACCCATGTGTTTTGATTCTTTAGCTATATAAGTAGGCTACACCTTTTCATAGTATTATATTTATATATGGCGTACAGCTTTGAAGAGTATAAGAATAGTAATCAAATGTAAGGCCCTTTGTTTACCTTTAGATGGTCTCTTCAGCCTTCAGCTTTTACTTTCAAGTTGCCCAAATTTATATCTTTTACTTTTTCTTTTTATATTTTTTTGGCTATTAAGTTCATTGATTCCTTTTTCTTTTCTCAAAGCAATTTTTAAAAGCATGTATTTTAGAAAGAACTCTTTTTTTTTTTTTTAAAAAGAAAAATATTAAATATAAGATATAATTGTAAGTACCGTTTAGATTACGGTGTAATAGTATTAGCGGAACTAACTCATTTTTTTTTTATACACGAGTGATTGATGTAATTACAGATGATGTAGGTATTACAAATTTCTTTATAGGAGAAGGCATAAAATATGTCGGGGGAAGTCGCATATCTTTTTATCTATTATTGTATTTGTTCTATGTATTAATTTTTTTAAAATTAATTTACTATTTTTTAAATTTATAATATTTGGGCGTAAAGGCATTCCAAAGAGCATCAAATATGTATTTACTTGCTAACTCCATATTAATATGATATTGGATTTCATAAACCTTTGATTGAAACTCTCAACTAGGTTTTTTTTTGCTAACTAATGTTTGACAAACTTCCTTTATTATGGGTCAGGACATTATTTTTCTTTCTTGGTTATGCCGTAGTAATACTTCTGTCTTTTTTGTTCCGAGGCATAATTATCACTAGTAGTAATAAAAAATTACTAAATAATATCAAGTCGTGCATGTAAAACACCAAGTTTTGCATATAGGAATTGGATTCCCGACTAATTTTTTTTTTTTTTGTAATTTGGGAATTGAAGTGCCCCTTCTCTATAGGCATTTATATCATGTAAAGGAAATATATTGGGATTCCTTACACTTTATTGAAATAAAATCTAGATCTCATAGACTAAATAAGTGACTTTTTACTTGATGACTTTGACTATCATTTGTTTGGTTGGGTGATTCATCTCTAAAATAATTGTAGAACATAACATTTGATTTACTGATAAATTTTTGAGTCAATTGATGCATCAACAATGCATTCCTCATTATCGTGTTGCTCACGTATTGTTGCACTATTTGAAGAAGACACTTAGGACAAGTCTCTTACTAGTTTCCTTTAATGCCCAGAACTTGGTAGTTTATTAGCGATTATGATTAGGTATCACCATCTCAATCTTTACATCCTAGCAACACGTTCGTTTCCCCCCTCATCTTGTTTATCATGAATAATATTAACGTGCCCCTCTTTTTTATCTGAACTCCCATGACATTCTCAAGCATAATGACCATATTTATGATAATTGTAACATTCAACATTCGAGTTATTAGACCTTCTATAGTTGCATCTTTCTCTTCATCTTCCACGATCTTTGCTTAACTGTTGGCTTTTATATTCATTTTTAGCATCACTTTGAGTATTATTTCTTTTAGACAATTGATCACGATCACAACTGTATCCTCTACTTTCCCTTTGTCCTCTTTGCCTTCTACCATCGTTTAAATAGACTTTTGATTTGAGAATTTGCTCCAAAAAGCTTTTCTTGTATTCTCTTTATTTGTCTTCATGAGTTTGTAGTGATCCTTATAATTACTCAAAAACTATAGTATCTAAATCATTTGAATCTTCAATGATATACA